GAATCAGCTGTGATTAAACTCAACAAGGTACCAGACAGAGAGTCACCATTCTTGGAGAATGGCACCTACATTGCCAAGATTCTGGCAATTACCAAAGGTAATACTTTTACGTTTTTATGCCTCCACATCAGCAACAGCCAGTGACCGGAAGCATTATGTTTTCAGGTTGTCTGTTAGCACGTCCCATCTTTGTGATCATATCTCAAGAATGCATTGGAGAAATGTAGGGCTCAAGAGCTCATGAATGAGCTAATATAATATCTCAGGAACTCCTTCAGCCAATCCATTCAAATTTKTTACAAATATTCACTTGGACTCCAAACTGAACTAAAGAGAATTTGGTGATCAAAGGTCACCATGACCTAATGTTTTTTTGAATATGATATTCAGGGAACACACATAAGGACTTTCAATGTGACCTCACATCCATGTCTTAGCAGCACCTCTTGTCACATTGGCACATATGCTTACTTGGACTGAGGGATGTCTTGACACTTATCACAATCTTTGTGGTCAGCATGCCTATTGTGATMATTTGTAAGAGATTTAATACACTGAMATTTTTTTTGATACAAATAAAAAACAATTAAGACAAGTTMAGCAGGTCAATCCCATTCTTCTCTTTGAGAGAATTAATGCTGTCTTGAAACATCCTGCAGTTTGGACTTTAGTGGAAGGCACTTCCTATTGCCCTAACATTTTTCACATTCATCCAAGGTGTTAATGTTTTACCAGAAAGCACTGCAGATTAATTTTAATAGGACCATTGCCATCCATAATTTGTGTTAGTAAGAGATTAAAATTATAAATCAAGKTGWCASACAAAGACAAATTGAAATAGGATCAGCAAGTGACTGGGTGCCCCTAAGAGAGYTAGGATATCTAGAGATCTATCAGATGTCTCTCYGAAAATTGAGTGTTTTTTCATAAATKTTGCTTGTGGCATCCAGCCACCATAGAAAAAAATRCAAAAGTGATTTGAAATCCCAATGTCCRGAGTGCATGTTGGTCAAGGCCTTTAGAAATATCTTGGTCAAGGGTGTGACTATGATTACATCCAGRAACATGGGTGTATGAACTGTCAGAAAAATGTCAGTTAACCTAAATATTTATGAGATGTGAGAGCAGTTCATAGAATGAGAAGCCCAGGGGTGAAATTATTTACTCCCACTGCCGMTTTTACCAGTCAATCTAAGAGATTATACATTTTGACATTGTCTCAAAAACAACCTTTAAGGTCAGGATAACTGAGAARTGTGTAATAAACRGAAACAGAAAGAATATCCTTAGGGATGTTACATTTATTTGTTGGAAAAGCATACCTAGTATTGGCAGAATATTTAAAATTTCTTACTGTAGTTACAGTAGGAGGAGCTAGTTAAGGTAGGCCTTCACCGCTAACTGTATTATTACAGAAGAGGGATCTTTATGTTTGTGTGMTCTTATAATGTGCTGTTTGACTAACTATGYTATTGTTATCCTCAGACATGCCATCAAAGACAGCAACAGGAACACTAGCAATTCAAGTAATTGACTCCAATGACCATTGTCCCACACTCACCACCACGTACAGCAGTCTGTGTTCCAATGAAAAAAC